AGGCGCAGTGACATGAAGAGAATTTTTCTCTGGGCGAATGTATCGACCAACGTTGGATCGCGGTCCTCAACGGTCAATTGGTTGCCTGCGTGGCAGGGCGTCGATGATTGCAACGGCTAGACTCAGAATGGATTGCTGCTTACAGCCCACGACGACACATCGACCTCGCGACGTTACTAGAGGAATCCGATTGGTGGCTGCGAGCCCAAAGCCGAGCGCGCTGGGTGCGAGTCGCCACCTTGTCGGGGCAAGGGGGGCACATCCTGTTGCGTGCAATGCTGCTGCGATGCATCGGGATCGGCACCCAAGTTGCGTGTTTTTAACGTCCGTGCCGCCGCCCAACCCTACGGACCGCAAATAAACACTTCGAACTTCGCATTCGTGTTTGGTGCCAAGACCGTCGTTAAAGTCCGTCTCGCGCCGTCCTTGCCATGTCCCTGCTGCTCCTTCGCCGCGCAAGATCGCTCCGCGCGCCTGTCCGCGCCATGAGCACGTCGGCGCCGGACGAGACGCCCAAGAAGCCGTCGTCGCCGTCGATCGTTCTCGGTGCGGTCGCATATATCTTGCGACTCGAGTAGCTCATGGGCGGCGGCGTAGACGAGTTTGTCATGCGGCAATTCGACGACGCCAACTTTCGCGGGACGCAAGTCAAGTACGACAAGACCAAGTTCGAAGCCATGATCAACAAGTACTACGAGAATGGCGAGTACGCGCTCGTCGACGGGTACGCCATCCCTCCTCGATCCTCGATCCTCGTCGTCGGTCGCTCAGAGCGTTTTTGCGCAGCTACGCCCCGTTCTGCAAGCACTTGTTTGTGCCCAACTTTATCAACGCGCGCGTCCAGACGGTGCCGATCACGCACAAGTCGATCCACTTGCTCCAATCGGGCTACACGAAGCGCCGCCCCGAAGAGCTCCCAGTGTACATCCTTTTCTTCTCTCGCATGCAAGCAGGCACGAGATGGATGGCGTAGGCTCATGCGCTGGTTTCCGTCGCACAGCGTGACGCCGGTGACGGCCAAGTTTCTCGATATTGTGCTCTACAGCCGCGAGCAAGTGTTTTTGGAGAACGAAGCGATGGGCAAAGACATTGCGCTGAGCGACGCACCGTGGCGCATCACCAACATCATTGCGCAGGACGTCGACACGGAGCTGCCGATGGAGCCGATGCATTACTTTCGGAATGCGCTCGGAAAGGGCGCCGGCGGCTCGGGCGTCCCGATCGACCCGATCAAGTACCAAGAGGCGGTCGAGTACTGGAACAAGCACGCGCACATCAAGTGAAGCGACGGCGCTGCACGATTTCGACAAGGCATGTAAGCTGCAAACCCGTCCAATGCACATATCCATGTATTACTCGGCTCGTCATCCGCGTGGGCTCCTGCGGTGGTCTGTCGTCGTGTCCGCACCTGCAGCCTCTTGGAGCGTCCTCGCTCGCAGTCGCTCCGTGGTGAGTCCTCTTCCGGTGCGATGTTGGACGGCTGCTCGAGGATGGATATGCATACACAGTTCAAGACCGACGCGTGATGGTGACGGCTAATGGATCTGCCGTGGTCGGTCGACATTGCCGTCATTAGGTGTAGGGTCTACATCGTCGCAGACGGTTCAGAGTGCAAGGCCCTTGCGTATCCATCGGTGACCAGCACGCCGCACGTCTTTTGTGTACAGCGGAGACCGGGACAACGCTCCAGCTTTTCTGACCAAGGGACGTGCCTTGCTTGGCCTTGCGCGCGGTGGTGGGACACGTTGAAATATATGTACATACGCGATATGCAGTCTGATCCTAATTGCTTTATTCCTCGGCCTCGGCCTTCTTGGGCTCCTTCACAATGTCCAAGAACGAGCGCGCACCCCAGGCACCCGTGGGCGCGACGACGGGCACTTCCTTCACCTCCTTCTTCGCCTCGACAACGACAGCCTTCTTGACCGGCGCCGCCTTCTTGGGCGACTCGACCTCCTTCTTCTTCGGGGCCTCTTCCTTCTTGACAGCGGCCGCCGCCGCGCCGTTGATCAAGGCGGCCGCGTACCCGCTGGCGGGCTTCTCTTTTACCGCCGCGACGATGGGCTTGCCCTCCTCGACGGCCTTTTCCTGGGCCTGCTGGCGGAGCTCGCGCGCTTTTTTTGTTTTACTCTTCGCCATACATCATCGACTCGTAGTCGACCGAGCCGACCGAGTCGGACCGGATCGGGCGGCCCTGGCGGAGCGCCTCGCGCGCTTTTCTCGATCGAGTACGTGCGCTGGTTGCGGAGGAGGTCCGGGTGGGCATCCGGCGTGAGCGCGGCGGCGTGCGCCTCGAAATCCATCTTGCCTTCCGGCAGCACGCAGTCGGCTTCGTCCATGTGCTTGACAATCTCCATAATGTCCTCGTGCGAGTACGCCTGCGTGATGGCGGCGCCGCCGACGTTGGTCGGGAGCGGCGGGAAGTTGACCGCGTTCAGGATCGGCTGGCGCTCCGACTTGGGCTTGGCCGACTCCTTCTTGGGCCGTCGTGGCCGGCGTCGTCGTCGTCTTCTTGTCCTTGGACTTTTTTCCGCTCGGCGTCGAGGCC